ATTTTACAGATTGAAATTCAGAACATTTGTAAAATTTGTCTTTGACCACTTATGGGGTTGAAAGAAGGGTTAACCCTTTAAGTCCCAATAGTGCTCAAAATCAATTTTCTCCTGACGATATCCATAGACTATCATGAGCAAAGTCTATGAGAATTAACAAAATGATCACAAAGAGAAAAAAAATTTTATCTTTTACAAAATTCTCTCAACTATTTCTTCAAGAAAATGTATGGAGATCAGTGTGGAGAATTTGTATGTGGATATTGGGACTTAAAGGGTTAAACAATAAAATTGTGTTTGTTGCAACATCCATATGATGACTAGGCTTGATTACTTGCTGCTCATGCTTGGGATGAGATGACTGGGAGGAGAAAACTCCGAGATGATCGCAATAAGCCACACAATATTGGCAACGTAAAGTGTTTTAATTTCAACTAACACACACTATATACAACATCAGTACAAATACCACTTAATGTCTTTTTTTTATCCACACTACTAGGTAATGAGGAAACAAAATCCAACTGACATGCAGTTGCTTGATTTATTTGGGACATTTTTCTTCGGATAACAACGTTAAACATCAACATGTGAGTACATGATTTTTTAATATACATAATATTGATAAGTTGTTCATAAAACTGTCTGTGGGGCAAGGGTACTATAAAAAACTTCCCCCCGGTATCAGCCCAGAAAATTCAAGAATTCCTAAAGTTAATAACTCCATAGAATTATATTTTTTTGGTTTTTTCATTCAAATGTTTAAACTTTTTTTCCATAGTTTCTTGTTCTCAATTAAATTGTATATTTTCTTGTTTTTCAAAATTTAATTTGTTTTTTTGCTTTCCTTTTGTCTTGCCGGGTTGCGATCGTTCAATAAATACATGAAAAAAAGAGAATATATGTACATGGCTCACTAACGACTGAACTCGCGTTCACGTGTCAGCGGTCAACCGCGACTTAATAACAAAAATACATCATTACGTCACGCAACGTTTCGCGACGTTCTGGAACGTTTTAGCTAACTAGCCGTCTGAAATACCGAGCTAACAACGAGCTAAAAATTCTAAAACAACTATAAGCATCTTAAACAAGAACAACAAGCTTGAGAGATGATATGATCGAAAGCTATGGGAATGTCCAACGTTAACTTTTTCACTTATAGCGAAGTTACAACTTGCCCAATGTTGCCCAACTGCCCTCGTACTCAGTACTGATAAGCAGTTGATTCGCTTAACTTAGTTGTACATGTACAAAGGAACTATAAAATTCAGTGTTTTATAGCATAACCTAAGTGTTTGTACGGAGAAAAGTCTCCTTCAGTTTGGTAGAGGGCTAATCTTGATCAGCTTTCCTGGCATTTTGGAAACTTGAGTCAGCAATTTGACATACTTGTCCTTGTACATGTCGCGCTCTCGTTCCACAGTAGTCACCTGTCTTCGAAGCTGTTCCAACTCTTGCAACAGGCTCTTCTTTTCCTCTTCCAGATTGTTTTTAGATTCTATCCTTCGCAGCCTTGAATGCTGAGCATATCTTCTGTTCTTTAAAGTTCTTCGCCTGTGTTTGACTCTGGCAATTTCGTCTTTTGACAGCCCTCGTTCTTTGAGAAGTCGATTTATGTCTTTCACAGAGAGCTCTCGCAGCTCTTTCTCTGTAAATTTCATTTCATTCGGGCTGAGCTGTTCGTCTTCACTGAAAAAGTGGCTGTTGCTTGTGGAGCTGCATTCAGAAGGTGCCGGACTGAATTCCTCCGAAGCGACTACCGCCGTACTGTTCAGAATGCTCTGATCGTCCAAAATCCTCGGTTGGCACGTTTCGCTCAGCCATGCAGGCATTCCGTTGAGATCCAGTGTTGAATCAGGTACATGTTGGGCTTTCTCTTCTTTCTCCTCTGCGTTCATTATCCACAAATGATCCAAGGCTGAGAAATCAAAGTTGGACGGGTCAAAGCTGAAGCCGGTTTCGTCTGTCAAAGGGGACACGACATCATGGCTTTCTTGGTTATTGTTATGAATCATTGTAGCAGATCTTGCAAGGCGGTCGATCGCGAATGTCAGGAAAGACTAACTCTTAAAGTGCAAGGCACTGATTCACTTCTCGATTGGAGAACTAAAGATTTTCTTCACCAACAATTAAACGATCTAAACACGTGCGCTAAGCTTCGAAGATAACTAGGAATGAAGAGTTCTTTCTCTACCGACCGCTTATAACCGGTGTAAGAAAGAGCAAGGATTGCACCACTATATGGCCCCAATTTTATTTATTGGATGATGTAATGTTACCCAAAACAGTTCAACCAATCAAACGCGCGAGAGAGTGGGCATGTACAGGCCGTTACCATGACTACGATGTGAGCGGTGACGAACGGGGAATCCCCTAGTTGGCTTTCGTGACAGGTTTTTAAGCCCAATTTAAACTGTTTTAAAATAATTTCAGTTATGCGGATTTTTGGCAATGAAATCAGCGATTTTGCTTTAAATTTTATGATTGAAGGAAGGTTGCAACTAAATCCCAATTTTTTTTTGCTTAATATGGAGGCGTTTGAAATAACTACCAGTACTTATTTTGGTGTCGCGGTTATTAATCAATTTTTCTGCTACAAATAAAATAATCGCCCGCACGGAAATAACCCTAATAAAATTAAGCTAAAGATACGAGAGTTTATTTGAAAAAAAGTTTTATATACCATTGTCATCATATGTTGTGTAAAAAAAATCGTAGCGTGTTTTTTTTAATCTTTTTTTTGGACATGATCACAAAGCATTGATTTGTATTTGTGATCAATAGAGCGTAGAAAACTGACACGTCACCACGAATGTCGTAGCGCGTTACAACTCCTCATTGAAAACATTGATATCCCCTCTAAAGATTTCATTTAAGCGTGTATTATTATTGTAAGTTGTTAGTGAATGGGTTATATATAGCCGTGACTAGGCTATAAGATGATTCAACAAAACCTGTTTTTCTTCTTTATTCGTTACATCAGCCAAGAAGTCAGTTCTTATTCGAGATAGTTGCGCTAGATTTCACACAAGCAGATTCACTGGCATCTTGTAAAATAAAGCCACTAGCTTTGATCATTTACCTCGTATCGGCGAAGTACTCTTTGGCGGATAACGGAACGTACGGATCGTCAAAACGTTTTCTTTCGTTTGAAGTCAAATTCTTATCTCTTAATTGAAATTCAATATATCACGCGTAGAATTTCACTTAAATTATAATATCACAAACCTTTTAGATTTTTCGTTGATCGCTTCTCGTAAGGATGAAAAAATCCAGACCCTCCAAAGTGCAGTGCTTTTATGTTATATCTTGTAAAGTAAGAGAACAAAAACCTATCAGTTTTCACTTTTTCGGCCTATAAAAATCATTAGATAATGACCGAGGAGAGCGCTTTTTGCTCTGCCTTTTTTGTTTTGTTTTTGTTTTGCTATTTATAAACTGAGAAAGGAAGAGGTTAATGGTACTTTCTAGTGCAAAGTGGACAACAGAATGTGCTGAGATACAGTAATCATCCGAGTTTCATTTGTCGACTTTAAAATCGCGTAGCAAATATTTTCCCTTGTTTTTTCAGTTGCAGATTCTCTTTCAAGACTAAACAATTCTAATTCAGTGAGGCGATAGTAAAGTAATATCAATTAGTAAAGGTCGTCCATACATGTCACGAGCGATAACGCTACGAACAAAGTAATTTGTGTGGACAGTGAGTAGCGTTCAGCTGATCGTAATGAAGACATATTAATCCGAAAATGGAAAGTAAGGGTTCCCTGATTTTTGAACGGTTTATAGTTTTGTGATGGTAACCTGACGGGTCATTTTCGTGCCTCACTATTTGCTTCGAAAATTAGTAGATGTTTGGCGCCCTAAAGAAGTAGCGCCTTTTGTTCCCAATAGTATAAGAAAAGAAAGACAATCCTGTTCCCCGTGCCCTGCTCTGTGCTCAAGCCTCAAGTTTGCGCTGTTCTTTTTATTTTCAAAGCTTTTCTGTTATCTCTTTCCACTTGCTCTAAGAGAACACGTGAGCTTTACTATAGCATATTAGATGGTGCTGTTTTTGTAGAGATGTCGCACACTAGACCCTTTCAATCGCAACTTATTCATCTTTACAAAAGACCTGTTTAGAATTTGAGGCGGTAAACAGGTTAATGCAAATTAAAAATGGCCGCTGTCATTCCTTATTCAGAGCAGTCATTTCAATTCTTTAGCTTTGATTTCGCCATAAATTTCAAAGGAAAAATGACTTAAGTTGTAAGAGTAGGAAAGATTACTTTTTCTATGTAAAAGACCTTGAAGTCCGCGGTAATGTGTAATCTCACGAGTTACTGGTAGTTGTTTGGGAAATTAATTATAGTGATATGCCCAGACTTGCTTATTTCCTTTATGACGTCACTGTTTGCGTGAAATATTGCGCCATTCTTCTAGCCGGGCCGCACTGGGTACTAACGTTGATATGGACCCGATGAAAAAATGGTTGCTTTAGTAATATTTTATTTTTACCACTTACATAAAAATTTGCTCGAATATATTGCGAACAAAGTTATTGAGGCTATAGGAGTGAAATTTTCGCCCTTAATTTTCTCTATAGAAAATTCACAAAGAAAGCTTTTTTGAACTGGAGGAAAAACAAAGCGATGACAAACTTGAATTTAAGCGAAGGCTTTCACGCGGGGAAGACATTCACTGGAGTTCTGTTGCTGAAGAACAAACACTCCTTTCCGTACCATCATAACGATGTCTTACTCCACACTACAGCTGAGTTCCTGTAGGCTCGATTACTAGCCGCTCCATGGAAAATGAACCCACTCTCTTCGAATGAAAAGACTTCTCGGCAGTACCCGAGAGACCGGTACTGTCTGGAGTTCCTGGGGCGAGTTGCTTAAAGGGGTCTTAACGTTTAACGTCGGACGCAACAGCCGATATGTGTCGTTTAGTCAAGTCAAGCTCTTTATTTTAACGCGTAACGTTAGCAATTGCCGAACTAGCCTGCAACACAGACGAAACTAAACTCTGGTTGAGTCCGTCTGCGAAACAGCGCCGAAATCTTTGTTCCCGGCTCCCACCTGTGTACCAGGATTTGAGTACCCGCCGTGATTGGCCTGTTAAAAAAGTCATTCGTCGTCGTTGTGGTCGTCGTCGTAGTTGCTCAAGCTCCCTATTGTCGATTTGCCAACCCGAGCCAACTCGACCCGACCCTCGGGATCAAAGGAAATTCGAAACGCACTTCTGGTAATTCTTTGAGTCCGTTAGGGACCCAGAACAAGGATCTCGGCACTGCTTCACGAGGTTAAATTACGCCTGTGACGCAGGCTATTGTCTAACTTGCGATCACGGAGTTCTTTTTTTTCGGGAAAAGTGCGAAAGTCGGCGGACGGCTCCCAAACAAAAAGGGAAGAAGGACCACATTATCGCAGGTTAGCAATTGTTCGACTTACCTCCAACGTTAGTTTCTATGCAACGGACCCCTGAGGCCAGCTACACAAAACCTAACGCGAGACGTATGTTAGACTGCCACTTTACGATTTACGCAACTTACCCCATACTCCTGGCCCCAGTTGTTCAAAAGGTGGATAGCACTATCCACTGGATAGCTCAATTGGTTTCCCTGACACTTATCCACTGGATAGTGATTTATCCGGTGGATAGCGCTATCTAGCTTTTGAACAACTGGGGCCTGCATTATAACGCCAGACCTAAAGAGTGATACTAGTCTGATGGAGTTACGTCGTCTAAGTTGACATCTATGCAACTGGCCCTGAATCCCGTATTTAAACTCCAAACGTCCGCTGGTCCCGGCCGTTCAAATGCTGGATAGCGCTGTCCAATGGACAAATCACTATCCAGCGGATTTTTTAGCCTGCCTAGCTGGCGGGATTGTTGTGCCCAGGGTTACCTTTTTGGCGAAGCGAGAACGGCGAAGCCCCGAGGGATTTTCGCTAGCCCCAGGGGTTGCTCCCAATCTTTACGAGGCTCCACCGCCTAAAAAACTACAGCACTTACCTGCTAATACCGCCAGCTACGCAGGCTACCGATTTTTTAGAGATTTTCCCATTGAATAGCGCTATCCATCTTTTAAACATCCCGGGTTAGGAGTCTCGTTTGATGTGAGGGCTTATTAATTATTCATCAGGCCCCAGACCCCTGGGCCGAGTTGTTCAAAGCTGGGTTAAGATAACCCATGGTTAATGCGAGATTAGAATTCAGATTTGAAAGCTTAAAAGGCATTTCAGTTTTAATTCTTTTCGTCTATAAGTTGATGATTGGAAGCTCTAAAAATAGCACAGAAAATTATCCGCGGAAATTTTTTTTGAACACTAGAAAAAGAAACCCGGGTAAAATTTAACCCCGGGTTAAGCGCTAATCAGCCTTCAAACAACTGGGCCCTGTATTTTGACGCCTGACGTCAATAGTAGGCTCCGACTATACAATAGGCCCCAGACCCCTGTATTTTAACGCCTGACGTCAGTAGTAGGCTCCGACTGTGCAACTGTTACCAGACCCCTGTATTTTAACGCCAGTCGTATACATTACATCAAAACTCGACTGCTTTTAGTTATCGTAAAATTAAGATCCTGTTCACAATTGAAGTTAAATAAGAGGGGTTAGAGTATCGGTAAACCTTTCCTTTTCCTACATCGGAAACAAGGAAAGTCGCTAAATATTTAGACAAGAAATTTATCTTTGAAATGGTACCCAAATCTTCACGGAATCGAAAAATTAAACGCCTTTCCTTCAGTTAATTTATTCTTGTTTTTCGTGCTACCATTTGCCCGCCAATATATCGTAATAACGTAGCTTCTGATGACCATTCTATATATAAACCTTACAGAATTCCCAAATCCTTGATTCGCTCTAACAAAGGGCCAGTGCTCTTTATGTCAGCCTTTCAATCTCTACTTTACTAATTCATTTGCTAAAGCTGAATTGTCCATAGGTTATACAATAACTGAAAGGCTTTTACTGTATCAAAAAAGTACAATCCGGGGGACCGGTATTCAAGTCGTTTACTCGTGAATTGGTGTGAATTTCTTTAGTTATTGAGTCATCGTAACTTTGTCTGGTTTGGTTGATTGGCTGAAGATTTGATTTGTTTAAAAACGCTTTATTTGCTTTTTAAAGTTTCTTCCTTTTGGACTATTTTTAAACTCGTCTCTATTTCTCACGTATTGACGCCAGTTTGTGGGCACAATAGCGTGTGATATTCCTGGAGTTTAACAACAGTAAAGAAAAATATGATTTCTCGTGTTCAAAATAAACAGCTCTGTTGTATTGAACTAGATCTTCTGATAATAAAATTAAGAGCGCGATATTGTTTGAAGTCTCACGGAGTAAAATAACTTGAGTCAAGTTTCTTCCCGTCATTTAAAAGAAAATCATGGCAGTAAACGCGATTGCCTCTCTCCCTGTTGGTCAAGCCATCGTTGTAGAAAGAGTTGAACTTGAGATTCAATGCAAACTCGGCAGTGGAGCTTTTGGTGTGGTTTACAAGGCGCGGGACTTGCTATGTAATTATCCTATGTTTTACGCATTGAAAGATGTTGCCTGTTATAATACTGCCTCCCTCGGCAAGGCCATCAGCGAAGTAGAAACTCTTCGTCGCGTAGATCACGAATTTATTGTTAAAATCATTGCCGCGGATCAGTTTGTAGACTGCCGAGGAGGGTTTCACGTTCTAATTTTAACCGAGTACTGCTCGGGAGGTAATCTAAACGACCGGTTATCACGGCCGAGCAGCGAAGAGACCACTCTGAAATGGTTGAGTCAACTGGCGAGTGCTTTAAGCTATCTTCACTCAAGGCAAATAGTCCATCGTGATTTAAAACCAGATAATGTCTTGCTGACAGATTCCACGACTGAAGACTTAAAACTTGGCGATTTTGGTCTGGCAAGAGAATTCCTAGCTTTAAAGAGAGTCGGTACACATATCTCTCCTTGTGGCTTAGCGCAATATTACATGCGTTCAGGTACAGGGCCTGCACACTGGATGGCACCAGAGGTATTCAGTTGCCATTACACGGAGAAAGCGGACGTTTTCTCCCTCGGAGTTTTATTCCACGCAATTCTCGTTCGCGACTATGCTTTTTCAACAAACGACATAAGGTGGTACGGCGCTTTTGTGAAAATTCCCGGGGGTGTTAAAGTTGGCCTTGGTTATGCTATGTCAAGGGTTGGTCCAGCTGCCATGACCCAGTTTACTCGCGATTATTTACTGGGCGAGGAAAATGGCTTTCGCGGCTTGATCTTGGATGCTTTGAGTTTTGTTCCACGGATACGACCGAAAGCAGAAGATATTTTCTACAGGTTAGAGGAGATCTGTACGTGTATTCGTTTAAAATGGTCTCATGAGGAAACTCTTCGCGGTAGACGAGGCAGGAGGACGAAAACGCACCCATCACGAAAGAGGGACAGATGCAGCATTTGCTAATCTAAAAGAAACTTTAATTTACTTCTACCCAAACTAGTGGAGATTTAGATGACGAAAGGAACGATTTGGTGATGCCGGCAGCATAAAAAAAATATTGAAAACTGTCTTAAGAGGTTCGTTTGAAACAAAAAACCACACTAATCATCCCGTCGTCCTGTTGTAGCTGCTTTTTCATTCTTTTTTAACTTTGGTCTTGGGGGGGCTTTGCAGCAAACACTTGATGGTGATTGTTAACATCATAGTGATTAAGAAGGACATCTATCAAGCGACCCGATATAGAATCGTAAAAGGGAAGCTGGCGAACATTTGTGATGGCGTTTTTAATATTCCTAGCTTCATTAGCGATATGAGATATTACCTAAGATTGCAGCCCACTATAATTTAGTTGAATGAAATGAGTTTTGTTGCAAGTCGAGTGTTTGTGGACTACCTTTCAGTCTGGTCAAGAGCCTCTTTAATGTACTCGGATAATTTTTAAAAGAATTCTCCTCTTTTTTTATCATTTGTTGTGAAATTATAAACACGTGAAATTATAACAATGTGACAGGAAATATCAAAATGTGAGGGTACTCTTTATATCTGACTTTAGAACCAATACCCAAAACCATAGAGACGGACGAAGATATAAACAGAAATTTGAATTCTCCATGAAAAAGGAAAAAGATTTTGTTGATGATTATTTGACTGAGTCAAGAGAGAATGAGTAATCTCGATGAGCATTGAAGTAG